TTGTGGGAAACATTGGACCTGTTACTTCCCGTCTCCGACATCAAGACCGTCTACGTTTTTCTGTAAGCGAGGAGACATGTACAGTTCAACATGAAGCGTTTGCCTGTTACAGATGGTTTTAAATGATTTTTTACTTTGAAAGAATCGACAATGATACTTGTACACCATCATCATTGGCAGGCAAAAATTGGGTAGTTGTCGTATGAATACTGGTCATAAATAAACGTGGTCAAACATCCAGGCCTAGTACGAGTATCTGAGTTATACGTTTGAATGCTGTCATGGCTGTGTTTTCTGTTTCACAGTTTCCGAAGGTGATAATTATAAACTTTGATAGGCTCAGAAATCTTTGACACATACAGTTGAAGGTAACAAGCACCTAAACTTACCTGATGAACGGTTAGCCAGTAACACTCAAATAGCGAACTATAGCTTATTTTGAGCCCCCGTGTGCACATCTCGTGCAACCCGCTCGGAATCCGCTCCTTGGTATCAGTGTCTTCAGCATTAGTGACTAGAAGGCGAAGGAAATTATGCTGTTAACGTACGTGTAGGAGCCAGTTGTACAACATTTTGTATTCCCAAATACATGGCATGATGATATGTGCTTTTGCAACGTTTTTGCATGTCCCGTTGATTTTTTGTGGCACCGTAAGTTACTAGTAAATACGGGGAACTGGTGAAAAAGAGGAAACTTTCAAAGCGTCCTTCTTAAATGCGTATCTCAACTGAGTTTCTGAAGGATGAACTGATGCATCTGAACCTTGATATACTAGTAACGTTACCTTACCTTCAACGGCCAGAATTACCATGACGAGGACACCGTACAGGAGAAACAAGCGCGACATCGTTGTTCTGCTCTTGATGAATATCAGCAGTTTCACTCTCCTTCAAAGTTTGTGCGTGTATGTGTGGCGGCACCAGTGCGCTGAAAGTCGTCAGGCTGTTCCTGTCGGTCCTCCGTGTCTGTGGCCGCAATATGTCACGAGATGAATTCATTCATTCGTACAGATAGACTTGAATCAGTGAATGCGTGGTCAACGTCAGCTGTTACATGATTGATCTGTTGGTAACATACAAACTTTAAAGTGGCACTGGACTTGGGAAACAAAAAATGTTCCACCAGAAAGCAGCCCGATGAAAAATTCAGGAGAAACATGCACCTTGGCATATTTTTTTTTAAACCTGCCAAAGAGAAAATTCTGAATGTTAAATTTCATTCAGAAATATTTTACTACGACTGCCATATATCTATATTATATGTAGACAAAATCATTCCCCAGCCAAATGAATCTGGTTGGAAAGATCAGAATGTGTCTGCTTTTCTACACAGGCCTGCTAGGCGGCGCTATCTTACGCCGAGTACAACTTGTCTCCCAGCAGGCCTTGCGGCGTCCTTTTCCGATCCAGATTTCAACATGGTGGGTACATGCAAATAAAAACCCTACAAAAATCGACTTCATCCAGTATTACTGTTATCAATACTGTAAGCAATAGTGCCATACCAAGAATGTTAAACCCTTCTGCAACAGATACATTGTATTATTTTTCAAGTTAGTACTAGAAGAGGGTTGGTTTGGGACAGATTAATGAGAAGCTTCACATGCATTTGCAGTAAAGATGGCGGATTTGATGAGGTGTCTGAGTGTGTGGTATTTTTATGTACCTTTTAGGGTCGCGTTCGTACGAAGACGATCAAAAAGGCGGCGCGGGTGATCATCGAAAAATACTACACCAGGCTTACGCTCGACTTTCACACAAATAAGCGGATATGTGAGGAGATAGCCATTATTCCCAGCAAGAAGCTGAGGAACAAGGTTGCAGGGTAGGTTGTTCATAATTTTCTACGTTCCCTTCACATAACGGAACATCCCTCTGGCCTAGTATGCGTAGTCAGTATGTAGATTATCTTAAGACTATGGTACAGCAATTATTATTACCAGCCCATGTTAGCTTCCAATATTTACCTCCGTCGATGATAGTAAATCATGATACTATACTAACGTTAGTAAGTTACTAGTATACTATGAACATTGGGCAGTCCAAACAAACGACATGATATAAACTTTAGACTCTCACAAACATTCTATTTTACAAGGGTTCTCATGTGCTATTTTAAGGGGGTCAGTGCCATTCGTACCAGGAAAGTAAACTGAAGTCAAGATTACGACAAGGACAGTGCCCTTGCTTGCTGAGATAATTCATTGCCAACCTAGAAAAGCAGTATTATGTCACCGAAAGGTAAAAGTATGATAATGTCCATATTTCTTCACACCTTCCCAGGTTTGTGACCCACCTGATGAAGCGTATCCAGCGAGGACCAGTCCGTGGTATCTCCATCAAGCTGCAGGAGGAGGAGAGGGAGAGGAGAGACAACTACGTTCCTGAGGTGTGTATAATATTGCCATTGGAGCCATGTTGTACAATTGCACTGTTAGAGTACTATGTTGTAACAAAAATCACTACTTACATGGTGATACAGGTTTCTACTGTATAGATAGTAGTTTGTAGTAAGAAATGTAATAAGTTTTGTAGTATTGTTGTATTACTGCCACACATTGTACGATTGTCGAGCAATAAAGTTCATTCATTCATTCATTCATTCAGGCGTCAAATGCCAACAGCTTATATTGACATGTTAAGAGTTGCTTGGGAAGAATTGATAGCTTGAGTTGACTTGTAGACTGAAGTGCCTTTTGTGATTCGTTCTGAGAAAAGATGAAGGTTTTGTTCTTTCTCAAAAATCGCATCTGGGTGGCTAGTTCAGTGCCTCCTAGTTCGGAATGAGAAAGTAGAGAAACTGCAGGTAGGAAACCACGTCCCAGGTACTCTGGTCCTGGGAGGTGGAGGAAGCCATGCTACATCAAAAACAGAGCTTAATGGGGAGATCATTAGGCTAGCCCAGTATAGAAACCTGAATTAGGAAGACTTAATAAGTTCTTACATGTATACATAAGCAATGCAAGCATAAGCAATGCATTGTAATTGTGTCAACTTCATCTTGTGGACATTTTTATATATTATTTGTTGCATATTTGTGCTCTTATATCATATCCCCATGTCCCCACTCCCTACATTGCAAGACATTGGCTGTATGCCTACTCTGAGTCTGAAGGAGTGTTGAAACAATAATTTATTTTATTTGATGTTGGGAATGGTTTCTATGGTTTAGGGAAACATACTGATGTTGTACATTTGTCCTATGCAGGTGTCTGCAATTGACCAGGACATCATTGAGGTGGATCCTGACACCAAGGAGATGTTGAAGGCTCTGGTGAGTTTTGATGTGAAGGAACAATCCAGCAGAGAATGTAGATTGTTAAATTGTTGTAATCAAGCACACGTGACAACGTAAGAAAATTTTAATAGTCCTAACTAGTTTACAATAATAAGACCTGTCAGTTGTAGTTTGTTGCTGAAATAGAAGCACCATGTCCTATTACATAGGTGTAGCACGCTGGTAATACCTGTACCTCTTCCTTGATTTCCAATGATGTATGCACATGTATGCCTTGTGCTGATGATGTACTTCTTCTCTGCAGGACTTTGGTAACATCTCGGGGCTGCAGGTGACACAACCTGTTGGTGTGCCTGGATTCAGAGCACCCAAGAACCCCTAGAAGCAGACTTCATGTAAGAACCTCTCATACATACATGCATGCATGACGTTTAAAATACCGGGAAATTATTTCAGTTGGAAAGGAAAGTAGTTGGCAAGTTGAAAACCTCTTTGCATCTACAGTATTTGTATGCAAATTACAATTTGTCATGTTTCAGTAAAGGAATTTCATTTCGCCTATCATATTATATACCGGTACAACAGAGAACAGGGCAACTGAAACAGTCATTCCAAACACAGAAGTTCTAACATCTTGAGTCTACCATATATTTTGTAATTTTCCAGCTGGACAGTGCATGCTTACGTCAGCTCCAGTACTTTTCCAGTTCCATGTTGTTCCACAATGTTGTTCCCAACCATTCTCATGAATCATTGTCTTTTTGTCCTGCAGGCTCCATCCCTGATATGCAGGTTTTGCAGCCTGTCGGAGTTCCTAGATTATTAAGTGCAGCGTATGTCTGACTATGATGTAACACCTGGAGACAAGACTACAGCACCTCTCAGACACATTATGTATGTTTCTCTGAAGAATAACAGCTGAATTAAAGAGAAACATGGATACCAATGTGTGTTTGTTGTCCATTTCTTCATTGATTAAGTGTGAGTGTGATGATGATTGTGTAAAGGGACTTGTCCGCTTCAAGATATCCAAATAAAGGCCCATTTTATTGTAGGCACTGTGAAAGCATGTCAGTTTACAGTTAATTACCAAGATAGTTATCAGATGGCTTCAATTTCAAAGTTGTATATGTGATTGTGTAGTAGTGAACATACTAAACATAAGTATAATGTGTAGGTTCAGTATATCAGCACATGCATATCAACCTTGTAAACATAGCTATGGTTATCATTAGTCTGGACTAGATAGGTAACATTTGCAAAGCAAAGGCATAATGTTTACCATGAAAGTTCATCTGTGTTGATAGTAATCATAGTAAAACATTGAACTTTATTCCAACACAAGGGCTACAGAGCGATCGCTCTGTAACCCTTGTGTTGGAATAAAGTTCAATGTTTTACTATAGCATAATGTTTACCTTCACCTGGTCGAGGTCTAACCCAAACTATTGCACTGTTTATTCTTACTCAAAGCCAAATTCATGTACATTCATATGTATGGTGAGCATGCTCTCCAACTCTGTTCTGCTTCATGATGTAACCCAATAACATAGGGTGTTGATACAGCACAAGTGTGTACTATGGTCCAGGTCGTTGACTTTGATTCTTTGAAAGGACAAAGAAGTGGGGAAAAATGCCAAAAACTGCATTTTTTACTTAGTAAGATTAATGATATTATTTATTGAAAAATGACAACCATTTCTGGACTTGAGTTGGGGTGGCTTGGCCCAAAGTAAACCGTGGCAATCTACATCGGGAATCTGGCCTATAGAAATAGCATCACGCTTACCTTGAAACAAATGGTACCAGTGCAAATCAAGGAGTCACACATAACGTTCTACATCTGCTTGGAGATTCCCTGAGAATGTGCTTTGATATAGGGGTCCTATAAAGGTATAAATGATGAGGGGATTATAACGTAGGTATTGAAAGCTTAAGGAAGAAGATCCTCTTGTATCGACAAAAGAAAGAAATCTGTGCAACAACAGAATACTTAGCACCATGTCAGGAATTCCTGCACATGAATTCCCTCCCGAATCGTCCGGCACAAATATAGTGCTATTTGTGACCGTTGACCTTTAACCTCCAAGGCAGTCGTGGACGTGGAGATGTTGTGATACGTGATCGGTTTTAATACAATTTTCGCTTCAAAGCAACTTTCATGAAGGTTAGTATCGGTTTTTCATACGAACAGTGTTAATTAAGTTTACAAGGTAAGTCTGTGATTTGAAGAGAGAGCAAGTTACAGTTTATTTGCAGCGTTTTATAGCTGCTAAAGCCTCGAGGTTTGGTAAAAGTTTCTTGGGGAGGGGGGCAAACACTGCGACAGAAATCGAATCGTCTCTACGCGAAAACATGATTTACACACGTACTGGTCCACCTTTAATTTTTGTATGTCCAAGTTCCAACTGTTTTGGGTATATTGAAGATATCTGTCATCTCGTACTGCACTGGTTATTATGTTCACACTTAGCACATTTATGTTTCCCAGCAACCAAGGCAAGGGTAACGTTATTAAATACATGCAACACAAGTATTAGCCGTGGACGACTCTGGTACACCTTTTTGCATGATAATGCCGGTGACACCGGCATTATCATGCAAAAAGCTGTACCAGAGTCGTCCACGGCTACACAAGTATATGCAAGCTATAGAGTGAAAAAGCCACCGAGAGGTGTTCAACTCCTCGTCATGGTACATTGCTGTTGATTCCAGACATCATGTTCACGTTGTTGCACGGTCTGTGGAAGTACCTGTTCCAGAGAGATGAATACTGTATCCTCATCTTGGGGCTTGATAATGCAGGCAAGACGGTGAGTTCACAAGTACAGACTTCCAAATCAGGTCATTTTAACTTAGCTAACTAAGCAAACTATACAATTTAGCCTTATAGTTATGGTTATCAATGTTTTTGTTTACATCAATCATTCATAGGCGGGTGCAAATTATCGGTAGGCAGATGCAAGCTATTAATAGGTAAATCACCCAACTGCCACCTAATTGCTCGTACTAGAAGGTACATGTATTACTACTAATACTAGTATGGGGGTCTCTTAGAGGGTCTTTAATGAATGTGTGTATATATACATGTAGTTACCAGCTTCCACAAGTTGTCAGTGAAAGTCAAGTTGTGTTAGGGATTTTGGCATGTTCATCATTGATGCAACAGTATATTCTGCCCATACAGTAGTTGCTTGTTTTACATATGTTTTTGTTGTTTTTTTTCACAGACATTTCTGGAGCAAACCAAGATCCAGTTCACACGAAACTACAAAGGAATGAACTTGAACAAAATCACAAGCACAGTGGGACTCAATGGTTTGTTTGAACCAGCTTTTTTGGTAATGTGTTCATGAAATTTTTGTAAGCAAAATTTCTTAAGGTTGTTTTACTTAGTACTTTGACAATAGCACTGACATGACTGACTTGACTTGACTTTATTGGGATCCACACTTAGCTTACAAAAACTATTGCAGCTATTCTTCCTGTGGTCCTTCAAGACACACATGACACACATTTACAAAACATAAATGCACTAGTATGCTGCATGTTGCTATTCCACATTTTGTATAATGCTGCATAGTGCATCATTAAATTTTAAATTGAAGATAAGTAAACACATACACTATAAGATGCTAAGTATCTTTTAACTTAACATAGTCATTAGCATAATATTACAGCTGTACTTGTATGTTCAGGACTGTAATATTGTAGGATACTCAAAGATAACACTAAGTCATAAAACAGTCTGTGTACCATTTTCAATCACAGTTGGAAAGATTGATGTGGGTTCGGTCCGGCTGATGTTCTGGGATCTGGGTGGGCAGGAGGAGTTGCAGTCCCTATGGGATAAGGTAGGTGAAACTTTAGAACATCTCTAGACCTGCAATGTTGACTAATTCAAAGGAACATAAATTTAAGAAAAATGAAAGATATCCTTGAAACATGACCTTTCTAGTTAAGGCTTTCTCATGCTTTAAAGTTTAATACCGGTAATTTCATGTTTCAGTTGATTTATCGGTTTAGATGACATGGACGGAGTCAGCCATCTTGGTGTGCTATTGGCCATTGGGCACCAAGATGAACCCTACTGTCATTGTCAAGTGTTCACACGTCTTTTGTTCTTTTCCTGCAGTACTATGCAGAGTCACATGGTGTCATTTACATGATAGACTCTGATGACAGGGAAAGGTTACCAGAGTCCAAACTTGCCTTTGGTAAGTTGTCTTTGTAGGGTAATTTCTTTGTCTTTCTGTAGAAAGAAAGTGTAATTTTTAGGTAGAAATTGGTTTATTTTGTTGTTGTTTTTTTCAGACAAGATGCTTGGCAGTGAATCATTGGAAGGTGTCCCACTCCTTGTAGTGGGCAACAAACAAGATATTGAGGTAAGAAAAAGAGGTGATATTATTTGATCACAATATGCATGTGTTGAATTATCTTTAATTTTCTGTGTGACAAGAAAAACTTATAACAAAGAAGAAAGGCAAACATTTCTCATACATCATCCTGTCCTCCCTCATTTCAGAATTGTATGACAGTTGCAGATATAAAAGATGTTTTCAATGAGAGTGCACCTCGGATAGGCAAACGGGACTGCTTGGTGCAACCAGTGTCAGCTTTGCAAGGGTAAGTTGGGCCTCCAACTCATATGCTATTATCTATCTTTACTGTATCTTTGAAGATGACTACAGAAATCATTTCTGTCTGATGTTAAAAATCAGTATGATCAGAATACAGACTGTTGTGAACCCAATATGAACCTTATGTCCAATACCACACACGAACCACCCTATTTTAGATGTAGAACAGTCCTGTTGTAAACCCTCCCAAGTAGAATAGCCCAACCCAGGAACCTCTGGTGTTAGGAGTCCTGGAGACTGCACAATAAACCATGAAGCTCCTCAAAAGTCCGGTGTGTGGCCTGTTCACTACAATGTAGCAGAAGAACCTACAACAGTGTACTTCCTCCCACAGGACTGGGATCAATGAGAGCATTGAATGGATGGTTCAGTGTGTCAAGAGGAACATCCACAGACCACCCAAACGGAGTGACATCACCTGACAATGGTCCCCATACTTCTCCAGTTCTACACATCTGTCCTAAGTGAATCCTGATGAGGCCATTACTACTTACCACTCCCTTGACTAGGTATTGTCCTTCTGCATGTGACAGGATAAATAAAAAAGGCAACTCCTTTTTGTGGAGTATTATATAGACAGATACATTTACCATCAGGATACATGTATACATAGTTTGGCAGAGTTGACACTTCTAGCTGCCTGCTGCTGCCATCTATTGAATTGCAACCCAAAAAATTATCTTTTGGAAAGTCCCAAAAAATATTTTTTTCAAGTCATCGCTGTTTCCTCTAAAAACACAACAGGGCTATTAAAATTCAATTCATGAAAATCATGTTGTATGACATATAGCTTCTCTCTAACCAGGAAAAAAGTGACTGTCAAAATTGTCATAACTGTGCCAACTTTTCAAGTATTTTCTAGTGCTAAGTTAGAATAGGATTGATTCTTTCATATTGTCAACCTGGTACATTTGTTTTGTACATGTATTTAAATTTGAATATATATTAGGCATAACGTTAGATCTTCGTTGGTAAAAAGTGTAACATCAGGTACAGGTGCAGGTCCATATAACGTTACCTGAACAATTTGACAAAGTGATCCATGGTCTCCAATGACAGAACCATGAATGAACAATTAACAGAATGTTTATTTGAATTTGAATCTCATGCCCAGAACCTACACATGATCCTGTGCATGCATGTATGTTTCTACCTGTACCATACACCAAGAGATGAAAAGACTTGAATCTGTCCACCTAAAATACAGTAGATACATGTGCTGTAATTTATCTCTCATTGTTTCCACATTGTAAACAGATTTAAGAAAATAACCTGTTGTTGTGAATTATTTTCAATCTTCACAGTTTAATGAACATTTATACTGCCTTTAGTTATCCTTTTGTAATTACTACACATACATGTCACAGTGTAAAGGTAAGGTGTACAGTCCTTTGGATTCATACAGCTAAAAGAACACAAACCAAATATTGCTGCTCCCTAAGATATAAATTCTGAATGTGTGAACAAAGATTTTTACATTCACAAATGCTTATAGAAGCTGTGGTTGGCACGGTAAAAAAGCATCAGCACGCAGTCACATCATGCACCTAACATGGCATACACCATATACAAAATTGAGATACTCTTTACATCTTCACTCAATTTTTAAAACTTCTACTGTTAACTTGTATCACACACAGTGCAACAAATAGGGCTCCAACTGCCCCAACTAGCAGCTCCAAAGTAACTGTTCAAACAGATTAGTTTTTTACATTTGCTCCTCTATTGCAGCAATTAGCCCACACTTCCTATACTTCAGCATACAAAGGCCTGAGCTCTAGTATCTATATCCTTTATCATAGACCTTAGGAGGAGCTTTCCTTGGTACAGCAGTTGTCATGGTCTTGCTCAGAAACTTTTTTGTTTTCTGGAAAACTCCTCATCTTCAAGTGGCCTCCATGGATAACCCAGTATCCTGGACAATTCTTCTAGCTGTGGTTGTTCCTTGGCCACCTGAAAGATGGACCAAGTTAAGATTATAGTCAAATAGCAAATACCTGCACAAGTTCAATTTTACCTGCAGTGTCGGTTTACCGTTAAGCGTTACCAACTGTCCTGAATTTACCGTTAAGCATTGTCGGGTCTGCTTAATTTACCGTTAACCGTTACTAGGACAACCCCATGCAGACCCTCACTAATGGGGATCTCAATAAATAAACAAACAATATGTGCTGAAACTTAAGCCAGAACCATATACACATAAAGTACCAACCTGATGCATGCTTTCCCTGTTTGGTGTAACCTTGCTCTGCTTCACATACAGTAGCTGTAGCTTGTCCCACTGTCTACAGGCTTGAACAAGTGACTCCAGAGTCACAGTTCCATCCACTATCACTGCCTGCATGTTGGAGCACCTGCGGGCCAACTGGGCTAACTGCAGGTCCCAATAAAAGGAGTTGTCTGCCTTAATGACAAAATTCTGCAATGTTTCGGAATATGTCAGAATGAGTTTGGATACCAGGCGGTTCAACTGGACAGAATTTGGGTTATTGTGGTCAGCAACTGCATAGGAGATTGCAGGAATCCCTTTTGGGCAGGCCAGAGGAGCCTCTTCTGTTAGAACCAGATGAACTCTAAGGTCTGGTAGTTCATATTGTAAATCTTGCCAAATACTCCCAGGCAGTGTTGTTCCATTCCCACTCAGTGGCTTGGCTTGTGATCTAACAATTGTCAAATCCTGTAAAGTTCTGTGTTCCTTCATGGCAAGCAGAATCTCCTCGGTAAGGTTCTGGTAGCTGATACCAAGGGACCTGAGGTGTTTCAACTTGAGAATGGTGCTGAGAGGACGAGGATATCGGGTGAACTCGGTCACATCTAATACAGACAGAGTTTGTGCTGAATTGGAGTCAATAGATTTCAGAGGGTTGTAGCTGTCCGTTCCTGTGGTCTGAAGGAATGGCACACAAACTTCCCTCAAATCATGAAGCTGAAACAGATTTGATACAGAAGATACATGTAGAGATTTTATCCACTGCAGATTTAAAACTGTCTACATATATGTTTAGTTATTATTATTACATGTAACGTTACATATAATTAGTGTAAATAGCAGGAGAAACTAAACTGGTGTAAATATACGGTTCTTCACAGTTGACATGGCAGTTGACCACCACGTTTTGTACTTCTAACATACAAGTAAAAGTTAAGATTTAATGACTTAAAATCTTTTACTTAGAGGCCAGACGTAATAAGTTCAGTCAGTTGACCATTCTTGCACATAAGAACACTATATCTACAGTTATCTCAAGTTTTTACCTTGTTGAATGTTACCATGAGCTCTGCCATGATACCCAGGTATATGGGCTCATGTGTCCGGAAGGTTGGCTCAAGAATAAACACCTCCACTTTCTGACATCTGAAAGGTACATGTAAGATTGCAGGGACAGCTAGGTTTATCATCATATATAGCATTTAGGAAAGAAAGTCTTGAAAAAGTAGACAATATCACCCCCAACACATTGCTCAGAGAAAAAAAGACAATGACATAACAACATGAATGACTCACCTCTGTGCTATTTCCCTGAGGATGTCTCTCACACCAAAGAAGAAGGTAGAGTTATAGATCCTTCAACCCTCCTGAAGTTGGCACCGAAGCGCCTGATGCTTGCCACTGTCAGATCATCAGATCTATCACTGTTCAGTTCCACATCTCCCCAAATTTTGGGGTGACTGAAAAAAAAAGGTAAATACAGTGCTCTCCTGTTATTTGCATGGGCGATTTGTCAGGGAATTTTATTCCTATAACAGGTTTAGTCCAATAACCTTAGGAGAGTCCACATGACCGACAGGGAGGGGAGGTCAGTTGGTTATGGATGATACTGGGCTGGGGCCAATTGAAACAACCACAAACATGATGTTATTGGTATTTATATACTCACTTTCATCCACAACTACATACATGTACCATATTCTAATCTTCAAGTCGCATTCAGAAACTCATAATGAACAGGGCTAACATGGAGATAGGAGATCAGACACATTCCACCTTCATACTGTCTACCCCTGTGTTGGGCAAAAGCTTACCAAACCTAAAACAACAGCCCAATCAAGGACACCAAAAAGGAACAAAGGACTTCTTAGAACATGGCCACCTTTCCTCAGCCAATCAGGAGCCTGTATTTCTTGTGACTAAATCCACATAGTGCGGTCCCCAAAGGGACAGGGGTGTACTAACCAACGAATAAATTAGACTAAGTCGGAGACGCCCATGTACTAACCAACGCATAAATTGACTAAGTTGGAGACGCCCACCATTCACATGCAAATAAAATCAAAAGAATTAACAACACAGGAAAACAGCAATTTGATTAATTTTCCTGTACATCTTTATTCAAAAGGGGAAACGAAAGAAACTCATAACAATGAAAGTGAACAACGAACAGAGAATGAATGAGTATGGATGAAGCAAAAAAAAATCAGAGGGTTTCTTACAAATGTCAAGTAAAACGAGAGTTTCTCATACATTGTACAAAATGAAACACAGAAGCTACAAACTTTTAGCGATACATTAAAACGATGCAGTCTTCCCAACATGTCTAACACGATTTACATTGTTAAACTTTGAAAAGAAACTACGGTAAAACTAAAAAAAAGAATACACCAACAAGGTTAGACAGCAGGGCAGGCACTGGGCGAGGGAAGGAGGGGGTTTAGGGCAGGAACATGTCAGCCTAGGAACAGAACACTGAACTGGCCAGCGCAGATGCCATGACCAACTTGTTGGAGATCAGGTCAGGGACTGCTGTCTCAACAGACGACCCAGAATTTTTAAACCCAAAAACAGAAGGCATTGTGGGGCTAGCAAAGTGTTGTAAACCATGACAAGAAAGCAACCGCTATGCATATTTCACATAAGGCTGCGAGAAGTAGCTCAGCTGCAATTCATGAATGAGAACAAAAGGACGTACTACAAGCTATAATGTTGTTAGTCTGGTTTCTAGCAAAACAAACCAGTGGTTTTTGAAGAAAAAAAACATGATTGTGTAAATTGTATTTCTTTTGCTTCGGAAAGATGGCCATGTTCTAAGTCAGTTAAAGGATGGGCGAATTGCTCGTATATGTGGATTTGGTACAGCCCCGCACCCCCCTCGGATTTTGTTGGCACCCCTCGGGCTCCGCCCTCGGGATGCCAACAAAATCCTTGGGAGGGCGGGGCTGTACCAAATCCACATAAACTCGCTCCGCCCATCCTTTAACTAATACTTCACACAATCATCATTGAGTGATTTGGGGTTCTCACCTGTCCAGAAGGAAGTGACAACAGAGAAAGTGTATGACAATGGAGGGTGCAGGGGTGATAATGAATGAATAACAATGGACTTCATGCAGATTTGCTGATGCGCAACAAATTCCATGTATTTCTTTCATGTATTTCTGGGTCAGTGTGCCATTGACTTGGAAATATTTTAGTCCAATATCAGGTTAAAGTCATAACAGGTCATGCAATTATGCCATGCAATTTATAATGTAGTGAATGGGAAATGGTTTGGGTTTTCAGAATTTTATGCAGATCCCAGGTTTATGCCAATGTCAGTGATGCAAATAGTTGGTGAGCACTGTAGTACATTTTATCGGATAATGGGACCACTAAGTAAATGGCCCCTCGTACGGGCCTTGGACGGGCCCTAGCCCTGTGGCAGGTGCCGAAGTGCAAAGTTGGCAATATATCAGCAACCGTTTGGAGTTGTGAACTAAAATTTGGCCAAGTTTCGCATCTTGTCTAGTTTTGTCGACTGACCGAAAGAAAATCCAAGGTCAAGTTGGTTCAAGGTAGCAGAACACAGTATTAATGGGCGACCCCCGCGGTCTGTGACGCGGGTATAGAAAGTAGTGCAGCGAATATTCTTGAAGGCTGGGTAGAAAGCCTTATAAGAGCGTCAGCCAGATGTAAATTGTGCTGTGTGGTGTAGGAATGTATCGGGTTTNATGGATGATACTGGGCTGGGGCCAATTGAAACAACCGCAAACATGATTTTTGTGGTATTTATATACTCACTTTCACCCACAACTACATACATGTACCATATTCTAATCTTCAAGTCGCATTCAGAAACTCATAATGAACAGGGCTAACATGGAGTTAGAAGATCAGACACATTCCACCTTCATACTGTCTACCTTGGTGTTGAGCAAAAGCTTACCAAACCTAAAACAACAGTCCAATCAAGGGCACCAAAAAGGAACAAAGGACTTCTTTTCACACAATCAGTGATTGGGGGTTCTCACCTGTCCAGAAGGAAGTGACAACAGAGAAAGTGTATGACAATGGAGGGTGCAGGGGTGATAATGAATGAATAACAATGGACTTCATGCGGATTTGCTGATGCGCAACAAGTTACACGTATTTCTTTCACGTATTTCTGGGTCAGTGTGCCATTGACTTGGAAATATTTTAGTCCAATATCAGGTTAAAGTCATAACAGCTCATGCAATTATGCCATGCAATTTATAATGTAGTGAATGGGAAATGGTTTGGGTTTTCAGAATTTTATGCAGATCCCAGGTTTATGCCAATGTCAGTGATGCAAATAGTTGGTGAGCACTGTATCAGATCAAGGGGCAACATGACCCAAAAACTAATTTAATGATTCGTGCATATTACTCATTGAGTGTCTTATTATTTCCAGTGACTGTTACGTATACAGAGAAAAAACTTATCAATTCAGTAGGCTGAAGTTGTAGTAAACGAACCTGAAGAATCTGCTCCAGTGTTTGCAGACGAGAGAGGCGTTCCACCTGTCCTGTGGTGTGGCCAGGTGTGAGAATACCTCCAGTAGGGCGATGTCAGGTAGGCCTGTCCACAAGGACGACACGTCACTCATGGTTAATTATGGTTGGATCAACAGCCGGGTGAAACCTGGACTGGTGTATAGGATGTATTGGTTTGACTGATGTACTTATGTGTTCGATAAAGATAGGTTTGAGTTACCTACATGTAACGTTATCATGAATCAAGGGCTTTTAAATCCTCCTTGAATGAAATTTGGTGTGAAAATTATACATATAAAAGAAAAACTACGCCCCCCCCCCTCGGTCCAAAATTATGATCCGGACAACTTACCTTATATGGAGGCTAAAAACCGACTTCACAAGTGCCTTTATGTGCAGTTTTGTCGCCACATCTCCCAGCTTTCTGACCATGCCATTTCACACCTCTTTAAATTGTGTAATGGCCTGTACTAGCGTCAGTTTTAGACCGAAGTAACCTCTACTACTAAATGGCACCTCTTATTTGAACTTTGACCTTAACAGCTGTGAATGCTTCTCGCCAGGTGGCGTTCTTTCGTTTTTATCAAGTAAATGCAAGCTTGCTTTAATATGCTTGGTCACAATTGGTCATGTCTTATCAGTTTTGATACAGCGAGTGGCCTGCGTCAAAGTGTAGACGAAGCTTAAGGACTACACAATCAAGTAAAAGTGAATTGTAATACTCTAGTGCACACTACAATATCCATGGGCGTCCAGTGTCCAATCGGTGTGCCCTGAAGCCACACACAGTGACACACCACGTAAAATTTTCCTCAAACCCGGAAGTGTTTGGTTCACCCCAACTTGGCATCATATACAGAGAATCAAAGATCTCAAAGAATCGGACAACGAAGCGACGCCGGTGTCAGCTGATACGTTAATGGTTAATGTTACCTTTGGGTCTCCAATTCTTCGGAAGGAACGACCGTCCACGTTAACATGGGTTCCATTTTTCAAAGCGTTCTCGAAGTTTTGAACACACTGTTAAAAAATTTGCAAAATGGTACCCTGGAGCTCGTCGAGCTAGCTCGCGGTGGCGTAGTTCTGGACGAAGTCGGGTACGTTGTCCGTAAGAATGCCCCCGTGCTCGTTCTTTGGTGCCTGTTCGTCTTTGTGATCGCCAGGCTGTGCTGCGGAGGCCGGGGGTCAAGACTAGTAAAGACAAGGGCGAACTATGAACATGGTGAGTCTTTGACCGGGCCGCGAGACCGTCAGAGAGTTTGAAGCCGGCACCATGTTGAAGCATGCCTTGGTCCTGCCAGACATACATGTACTTGACAGGAAAACGTGTGGATGCTGATTACTGAAGGCTAAATTCTCTTGAACACTGCACTTATTTTCTGTAAACTTATGCTGACCCCCTCCAGTTTATGTATACTGCGATTTTATCCCGTCTACCATGATTGGCAAAACCCAGTTTTCTTGTCTACTTCCTGCTCCTATTTCTTCTGATTGACCTGCTCTGCTGACAGCTCCGGTCATCACAAGTGCACCCGATTATGTTCCATATGTACAAATGTAGAGCAGCCCACTGGTCTTATGTTAACACTCAAGTTACGGTACCCTCCTATATCCGTCCTCAGGTAAAGTGTACCTCCACCAGCATGTCCCTGCCAGCGGCCTGCCCAGTCTGTCACCGTTCTGTCTGAAGCTGGAGACGTACCTGCGCTTGGCAGGCATTCCATACGAAAATGTCTACAAAAGAATGGAACTTGGCCCCAAGGTAACAGATGGGTGAAGTGTAGACTGAGCCTCAAAACCAAACTGCTCTGCTGATTTTGCGAATGGACTCTACCCCTTCCGTAAATTGCAAAATTTCTTACATTTTTTATAGGGAAAGATTCCATGGATAGAGTACAATGGAAGAGCTATGGCAGACTCTGGACTCATCATCCAGTTCTTCAAAGAAGAACTGGAAATCGACCTGAACCGACCCCTCAGCACCACGGACAGGGCCATCAGCAGGGCCTTCGTCAAGATGCTGGAAGAGAACACCTACTGGTAGGTGTTTGTGCCTTGAAGTTGTGGCCGTCCAGTTAGATGTACATGTTTTTTTCCTTCCGACAGGATCTTTGTTCATCTTTCAGTTAAACACCAAGCACGACGTCGGTAACATTTCCGCTACAACTGTCATCCACAATAGAACATGTATGACATTTTCCCAAGCAAATCTAAGGAAAGATGACCGTGGTAGTGCGTGGCCAAAAAAAAGTGATGAAAGGGTTTCGATCGATGGTGCAGTTTCAGTTACGCAATAGTGTCATATTTCTAATTCCTCATGGACTGCACCCGAGGCAAAATAGGCACAACATCATGTTTTGCCTTGCATTTCAGGGGGTTGGTGTACTCCCGGTGGATTGAGAATTTCCACGTACTTGGGCCTCTGTTCGAAGTTGGATGGTTTATGCATAATGTTCTGCTGCGGCGAGCTGCGCAGCGACTGAAGAAGATGCTGTGGGCACATGGCATGGGCCGACATTCCCCCAAGGATATTCATGACATCACCGAGATGGACATCAAGGCAGTGTCAGAGTTTTTGGGTAAGGACTAATTTTATTTTTTTATAGACATCAAGATAATTATTATTATCTTTCTGCTTTAAAGTACTTCTTGCTGTTTGGATTGCTCCGTCGTGTGTTTACTCTAATTATGACCTTCAGGAGAAAAGCCCTTCGTCATGGGGCAGGAGCCGACAGAGGCCGATGCCACTGTGTACGGATTCATGGCAGAGATCCTTTGGGCGGCACCGCAGTCATCAGACCTGTACGTTCTCGTCACTGAGAAGTGTCCGAACATCAGGGAGTACTGTGTGCGCATGACACGACGCTACTGGCAGGACTGGGAGGGTCTGATCGACAAGTGCTGAAGCGTTACTGTGGTCACTGGCTGGTATTGAATAGGCTTGAATAGATGAATGCATATGTTTGTACTGTATTTAGAAAACGCGAGTAATAATACTGCCCCATTTCATCACCATATACCTTCGTAGGGTACGGATACCTGGATTTGCCGTTTTATTTCTACTTTTTTGACAATCTGCTTTTTGTACGTAGAATGTGTTATTCATATAACAGTATATCATATTACAGTGAATAAAGTGTCCTATAGACACCACGATTAGTTGCCCTTTTTAGTAAAGACTTTTTCGATGGCACGTAAATGATTGCTTTATAATTATATGCCAATGATGATTATGATATATTTAACGTTACATTTACATGATATCAACCCTATGTAAACATCGGTCGGTCATCAGGTGAAGGGGGAGAAGACATGAGAGTGTAATGTCCCCAGTTGACACATGTGCCTTCCCGTTTCACGGCAAATCGGGTTCCAAAAATGCATGGACTAATGATAAAATAATAATGTGGTATGAATTAAACAAAAATGCAGGACATGGTACGAGATGAGAATATATCAAGAACGATACCAGCTTAACATTTAATTTGTCAAAACATTTACCTCC